CCTCAAAAACTGCCAGAATAGCTAAGAGTGGCTTAGATTTCATCCGTGTATCATGACTGCCCCGCAGCTACGATTATGAACTGGTATGCAGGGTTATATAACATCCTTCTAAAAGGTTACCTTGGAAAGCAGGGATCAGTTGGAAATGCCAGGGCTAAAAAGGAACCATAAGTCTCTCTAAATGGCTCCCCTTTAGGTGGATAATAGGAAAGTGAAACTGATAGTCTTAGTAAAATAAAAGGTTAACAGATACCCCACTTCAGAGGGACATGTGGGATAAGTGCTGTTCAAAGCCCGCACACATCGGACAGTTGTATCCAAATAAGAAACAAGTCTATGCATAAATCCATATTAAAGTTTCAAAACCTCTTGCACAAGATTTGTTTGGTTTCAAAGAATTATGTATCTTGACCAACCACAGGAAAACAATAGGATTTGAACATCTAGAACATCAAGATACATGGACAGTAGATCTGATGTGTAATGTTGATACTGAAAAGTATCATTTTGAGCTATCTGTTTTCAAAGAGGAACTCACAAGGGGGCCAAACAAACAGGAAGAGATTCAGTTTCAGGACAAAAATCCATTAATATACATGTGAGAGGCAAGTAAGGGTCTGGTCACATTTGAAGTATGATCTGAACATAGGAGAAAGCAGGCCGATTTACATGCAGGAAAAATTTGATGTACAGAGTTTTCACTGTCAGTTTTTGACCCCATCTAAATCAGGACTAACAGGCCTGTCACATTTGGTGTATGATCAAAAACTGAGAGAAGCAAGAAGCCTTGGGACAGTTGGTTGGTTTTCCTTTGGTGTGTGTATAAGCGTGTGTAAGGTTGATGACTCAGCAGATATTCAAACCCGGACCTCTTGGTTCTGAGCTGAATACTCTGCAGTTACTCCACACGACCCCACATTGCCCAGGTGTCATGAAAAAATTAGCTGTCTTGTTAGTTGTTACCAAAAGTCTCATTCTGTCTTATAGAACTTGAAGATAGATCCTTGGACTGTCACTGCCTGCTTTGAAATTCTACTGCATCAAAAGATTTAACATTCAGATTACACTCAACAACTATACATTCTCTGAATGCATCAATTAACATACCAGGCTTCTCAAGTAATTGTAGGTAGACACATTTCTGGCAAAGACATGTACACCACTTCCTGATTTGTCTAAGAATTTGAGCTTTTTTTTACCACGCTACTCAATTTACAAAACAGCTTTCAATCATTGATATCAGGAGCTACAGATTCCAATCCAAGGACTGCACAAGGATTTCATCGGTATGTTAAAGAGGAAAAGGAAGATCAGTTAAAGTCACAAATGACTTGAAGGTCATCTGACATATGACCTTGTCTGTCTAGATATAACGTAACCAGAAGTCGCTATGGATAACATTTTAAATCAATCCATTACAAATTTTACTACTCTCCTGCTCTCCAGCTCAATTGTAAGATAAAAATCTTATTTTGCACCAAAGATGTTTCAGCAATTTCAAACATGAGGCAAAATGAAGTCTACAGAAGTCCTTCTTGCCAGAAACACCTAAGATGCAAGATAAGAGAAATTCTTGAGATGACGTCAATAGATCGACCTTTAAGATTACACGCCTTATTGTCACCTTGACTTTCAAACCAGTGATACTGAGAAGGACCATTCTTTGACATTGACCTTGGGGTGCTAATAAGTATATCTGATTGATATTGAACTTAATTTGAAGGCTATTCCATTGTGAAAATATGTGAAGGGGTGGTCAGAAGGATTTCATTAACGACTGCCCAAGACTTTTGTTCTTACTTTTCCCAAGCCTTTTGTTCTTTCTTAAAAAAACATAAGTAGCCAACATTCTCTGAGAAAAACTACCAGTATCAAGTTTTGTCTGCAAAATGTCTTTCTCCCAACTACAATTTACTAACAGTCAATATCTAAAAGGCTGTGGAGCATTTTGTAAATTGGTCATCCCAAATTCCCTACTACAACATCAATACTCCCATTCCAATAACCCCTGTAGCACTGGACTTGTCTGGTCCTTTATTGAGGTTGCGACCTTGGCACCAACTTCAAGGTCAATCATTCTATAGACATGACAACTGACCTGTGCCCAGCTGAAGATCAATAGAGACTGTGGATATGAATACTGACATGTTATCACCGAGCAAATGTTCGGTTCACTTAGGTTAATGGTTCTGTTTGTCAAACTTTCAAAGATTGTAAGAGGGTTTACGTGCCTTTTTTAGTGAGGACTAGCAAGGTATTTTACTTCAACGTTAACCACAGCTTTAACTCAACGTTAAACGTCACTGGTGAATCAAATCAGTGTGCTCTTAGGTTTTTAGACTTTACAAAAGGGTTGCAGACCAAGGTTACACAGTACGTGTGTATTCTACATGTATGTCTCTTGCGTTGGTCCAGATTAAAAACACCCACTCTGTACTGCGAACGAGCATTAGATTTAAGAGACCTTGTATTTTCGTGGGCATCTTTGATACGCCTACTCACTTGATACCAAAAATACATTTCTTAGAAAGAACGCCTACGAAGACAGAAGTACTAAGTGTCAATTCGTGATGTTGGGTTGGTAAACAACTGTCATTTAAGACCTGGTAAGGATGGGAATTCCGTGGAAATCCTTTTTCTTGACAGACCCATGAGTGGGCCCTTTCCCACATTACAATTTTGATAGTTTCCAAACTAAATCAATATTGATAATTGCCATATCTCATTCCGCTTAACAATATCTAACTGCAGTGAATTTATCTCAGTAAGATGCATAATCTTTTGTAGGTTCAAATACATCAAAAGATTAAGTAAAACCACATTCTAAATGACTTTTGAAAGCATTAATTTTGAGTGTATGAAACTACCAGTATGTTTTGTAAGAAAGATGCACCCATCTGAAAACACACAAAACAACGCATAAAAACAAGCTAAACCCCACTCAGATTTTTGTGTTGATGTAAACAAGCTTGTCTGGGTACATGTAAGTAACAGACATATAACTCACAGATGATGAGTAGATTACCGGTATATTATCCTGTAGAAAACACATTATCTCAGTCTATATTGTATATCCACCCACACACTTCAAGCTTGGATCAACAGTGCCCAAATATGGCTACAGCAACTGGTAAATATCTGATCTCAGGAAATTGCCAAAATTTACTGCAAAACGGTTGATGGCTGTTGACAACAAAGCTGTACACTTTGTTACTGTAAGTCATCAATTATTTGTGGTGTTTTTATGTTTGCTGTTTTGGCAGTGAGCTCTGGCTATGAAAACATCACACTACAAATATGGTGTCATTGCTGTGTTTGGTTTTGTGTCTAACAAAAACTCTTACTTCTAAGTCAGAATGCTTCAATACTACACCATGGTTCAAAATTCATTTTTGGAAACAGGTACTAAATATTAAGTTTCATGTCAATACGTACCAAATTCTACCTTTCTCCAATGGCTATATTTAGAAAGGCAATGAAACTGAATTTGACAGCGGATGAAATATTGACTATTCAATATATTAATGCTACCAATATCTTTTTCTCCACTGACATTTTGGCCTTGGGAAGATTTTATATTGCCTTCCCTTTATTACATTTCATACAAAGCCCTCCCAAGTGTATGTGGACGAACGTAACTCATGCACAATTCAACATATACCCAATAAAACTATAAAATATGTATAATTTTTTCATTCTATATATCATGAAAAGCCTTGTTGGAATATTACAAAAACCTTTTCCTGAAAAGTGCATAGTGGCAGCAAAAGATGTCTTCGATTTGCCTGAAGATATAGCAGATGGATGTATAACACGTAAAAATGTAACTGTACTTGAGTTTGAAAATGAAAAAAAATACAAGGCACAATTCGTATTTAATGTTTTGTAAGATTCATTTCCTAACTTTGAGAAATGAAATTCTATATTGCACAGCATCATTCAAAAATACCATAAAAACAACTCAAGCGATACATTGTTCCATATCATTAAATGAATGTGAATTGAACTTGGGAGATGTATTTTCATCAGAGTTAATATCTGGAACGACGGGTAATGCTTTACGACTACCACCAAATGCCACTTTACGACCTTTATGCAATACCTACGTGTACCAAAGCTACCACTAGGGGTAATTGGGGTCAACAACCTTAAGATGCAGAATCCATGACACATATGAATGTCCATATTTGGTCATGGAGGACAGGTGCACTCGTACAAAATATGGAAATCAGTATGAAGCAATGGATCCATGTACGGGAACATAATATTAGTGATTCATGCATAATTAATATTTGATGATTGATATTCCTTGGTAAAAAAAAGCTGGAAAAAAATTCATGTGTTTTCAAATGGAATGCTGTGATTGGGGTCGTTGACCCTAATCGGAGTCTAGACAGGGATTAGGAATTCTGGGATAATCACTTCCCAGGAAAACTGATGGAAAATTCAGCCGTGCAGAAACGTGCATGATGTTACAGACCAACACAGCGTTAATGTTCATGATGTTACGTTAGTACATATACTTAGTAAGAGCATGTTCATTTGGTAAAAAATGTAGTCACAAATATTAACAACATTAACAGTATCACGTATGGCATTATTTCCAGGTTGTTTAGTAGTAAACAAAATTGTGGCTTTTTCCCATTTGGCTCATTTTAAAATCTCTCATCTGTTAGAATGTTATCAATGTTTTCCACCAGACAATCCAAGTATTAGATAAAATCTGTTTTTACAAAAATGGAAAATTCACTTTCTGTCTAACAATTCTCAGAATCTGGTTTAACCACGAAATAAGGAAAATCTCACTAGACAGATAAAAAAAATGAGGATACCTACATTCATTCACTCACTCCATCCAAAAACTCATCCAACATCAATTCTTTCATTCCACTCATTCTTTCAAGCTAACCCATCCATTCAAAAACATTTTCAGTCATTCTTCTTTTGCTCTATCCTTTCTATTAAACAGTGGTGATGATGAAATAGTGACCGTGTCTTACCGTTATCCTTGGCATTGCTCTCTTCTATGTTCATACTCTCGGCCAGTTCCGACAGACTTTCGTCTACTCCTCTTCCACCGCGTAGCGTCAGAGACAACCGCCGCTTTATCTTCTTCATCTTCCTCTTCTTTCCTTCCTTTTGTCCTACTTACACAAAGACGTCTGGTTGGTTTTTTGAAGCTCCTTGAAGCTTAATTTCCGACCGCTCTCAGTTCAAGTTCCTTGTTTGTTTGTTTTTTCAATCAATGACTTCAGGGCTTGAAAGTTGTAATACCTGTAAAGAAAGAAGGAAAGACATTCAAACCTTTGTATCATATCTACATCTAGCTGGTCCTCTTTTATGTTCACCTTCACAAAAGGCCTAGAAAAACATACTGTTTTTGCTCCGTTTCTTCTTCTTCCATTCCAAATAAATAAGGTCAATGACCTTAACCAGACGGCTGTTACCATGGTAACTAAGGCCAGCACAACCCATAGAAGTCTTTAATACAGTGCTCACCAACTATTTGCATCACTGACATTGGCATAAACCTGGGAACTGCATAAAATTCTGAAAACCCAAACCATTTCCCATTCACTACATTATAAATTGCATGGCATAATTGCATGAGCTGTTTTGACTTTAACCTGATATTGGACTAAAATATTTCCAAGTCAATGGCACACTGACCCAGAAATACGTGAAAGAAATACATGTAACTTGTTGCATGTCAGAAAATCCGCATGAAGTCCATTGTTATTCATTCATTATCACCCCTGCACCCTCCATTGTCATACACTTTCTCTGTTGTCACTTCCTTCTGGACAGGTGAGAACCCCCAATCACTCAATGATGATTATGTGAAAAGAAGTCCTTTGTTCCTTTTTGGTGTCCTTGATTGGACTGTTGTTTTAGGTTTTGTGTGTTAGCCCTGTTCATCATGAGTTTCTGAATGCGACTTGAAGATTAGAATATGGTACATGTATGTAGTTGTGGGTGAAAGTGAGTATATAAATGCCAATAATGATAGTTAACATCATGTTTGTGGTTGTTTCAATTGGCCCCAGCCCAGTATCATCCATAACCAACTGACCTCCCCTCCCTGTCGGTCGTGTGGACTCTCCTAAGGTTATTGGACTAAACCTGTTATAGGAATAAAATTCCCTGACAAATCGTCCATGCAAATAACAGGAGAGCACTGTACTTTATAACAGTACTATTGCTAAAGAAAACCCTGAAATGATGTTTACAATTCTAGCTATGCATAATGTATTTCATTTCAACATTTCGTGGTCTACCCCTTAATTACTTGCTTAAATTTAGAGCAGAAGCTTTAAAACAGCAGCTATTGACGTAAACAATGACGTCAATGGGTTTCAAATTTCTATATTGTCTAGCATGAATGTTTGTAGTGAAGGTGTAATTTTTGCTGTTGTTACTGTTCTTTTATTTTATCCTTGAAATGTTTCATTTGCAAGGCCAACTTAGACCAATTTTTCAAGAACATGAAAAATAATAGAAAAATTTCTTTTTAAATTTTAGCCAGTTTGGAACAGAATAAAAAGACATGTACTAACTACTGGTAAACACTGCCTCTTTATTGGAAGCAGATATTGGAAGGCTAACCTTTATATACCAAAGCCTGCTTTATCTGTTTATAATTAGCACTCAACACTTATGTCAAATCAATGAGTATGGTAGTTGAACACATACCGATACCACTGAACTAGCCCTGGCTGTAGTGCTTGCGGCCCAAGGGCTATTGAAATAGAAATGGGAACCACCTTGCAATTCCCCTACCTGAAAATTCTTAAGTGCAAACCTACTAATGCTAGGTGTGTGTTGACCTGTATGTGATCCCCATTTCAAACCTGAACCTTTCTGATGGACAGTAGAACAACCTTAATGGAAACATGCCGCACTATCGATTCCTTCCCGCCACCTCCCAAGAATGACCTTTATGTTTCCAAGGAACTCTGATCGTGTGAATTCCATCTAAAAATTCCCAAGAACATCCAAGAAGGCCATGTTAGCCACAGACGTACATCAAAATGTTAAAACTGCTTACATTTGTACCTCTATGGTTTACAGGGGTTTTCATTTTGGTGTGTGTGTTTGTGTGTTTACTTGATAGTTATTTCCACATGTTAGGCAATTGTCGAAGCCAGGGACATACAGGAAGTTAGGTCAAAGGTCTCATTTTCCTGTCTTCAATTTCCTGCTATGTAGACATTAGACAATATCTGTTACGTTATGTTATGGGAGCTGGTGGTAAAATGAATAGACAGAATCAGCTGGAAAAATGAATGAAATATTATAATTTAATGAAGGAACTCACATAAATGTTTGAAAAATATTTCTGTAATCTAGACCTTTTGCTGGCTACGTATATGTAAGCATTTCCAGTCATGACTTATTTATAAAAGGATAGTAATTACAAGGTACATGTTCACACAGTTAAGACACCTGAAACAACCTGGCCCTTTCTGCGAGGACCGACCCCACCCAAACATTGATCGCCGCCATGTCAGATGACCAGACCACTCCATGTGGTTGTAACCAATTTCCCATCAATTGACGGGTATCGACGGCTGCCGTAACAGCTGAATGGACACAACGATCCAACGTCATTCAAATTCATCATGTCAAGTACAGGGGAGATCCCAAATCTTCTGTCTTTATAACCTCTACCTAAAGAGGGGCTGTATGACGTCAGTATGGTACAGTAAATTCACTTATTTTCACAGGGATTCAATTTCATAGTAGGATGGAAGGGGGGGGGGGTTCCACAGTGTTTCAAGTACACGGTTAAAATTATTCTGTAGTACAGTCACAATTTGCAGTGTCATCGTTTAACCTTGAAAATAAGTCTGCCCCAAATCTTTCAAGATTTACAGTATTCACTGTCACGCTGCTGTGTAATGAACAAGTCTGCACACTAACCCACTTAGTGGAACACATGTAACCTGTTAAAAATTCAGTCAGTCTCATCCAGTGTCCTTTTTTCCTGGGACGATCCATACCGATTCGGCGAAACTTTCTAATCTAACTCCGGACCAAAACTACATCGATCCCGCAAAAGTTGAAACCCGCCATGATTATTTCATGAACACCGAGATTCAATTAGGTTTTATGGCCATTCTCTCTGGAACCTGTACTTTACTTCTGCGGCAGAGTAAAGCCGAATGACATGTTTAGAGGCTTGCTAATGCAGTTACCATGTAAGAAACTGGGTCACTGGGATTACAGGAGTTGCAGAGATGGGAGGTTTGGTGCAGCTGACTATCAATCACAACATTTCCCACCACAGAACATGACATCCCAGTTTCTAACTTCCAGGAAGCATGTTGATTTATGGGCCCTGATATGAAAAAAAAAAGTGTACAGTTTTTAATATCTGATTACTATATAGAGAAAGCAAAATTGCAAGCACCTTGTCAAAACTAACATCTATCAAGTCACTTGCTTATATACAGGTTTACCGGTAGACTTTTCTTCACTAATAATATATAAATAGTTTATTTGCAAATTGACACAAAACTAAAACAACATTGCAGCCTTATAATACAATGAAAAAAAAGGCTGAATTATGCAGTTTCAGGGAACACACAATTGTACAAATTTCTGATATTCTGATATCATCTGATACAATATTATTGTACTAATCTCTGAAAGTCACTTATCACTGGTCACTCAGATGAAAGAGAGCTTAACACAGTACATCTGAAACATCTGATTCTTCACAGAATTTATCCAGGTGCTTCATTTACTTTGTTTTGTGCAATTTTTTGGGTAATTTAAGTTCTGCCCGGATGTCTAACCTTCATCGATGTATCAAAATAAATACTCGTTTTTTAAAACCATTTTGAGTACCTTTTAATGCTTGACAAGACATAGTGTGTACCAGTAACATGTCCTTCCTGCTACCATAACGGAAGCATCCTGTCTGATCTCAGAGATTACAGAACTGATAACTCCACATTCTCAAACCCTGACTAGACTTCCTTTCCCTGCTTACCAAAACAAAAAGTCAAATTTCTCATCAGACACTTCTTTAGCATCTGATTGTTAGGGTAAAGAAATTAAAGTGGCCCTTTTGTGTTTGAAGGACAACAGACATGTGTTGTTGACATGTTGATGCCCCCAACAAAGACCTGCGACCTTGTGAAAATGAAAGAAGGTCTTGCCAAAAAAGGGCATAGAAAGTTCACTCAACAATCTGTGAAAGTTAGCCATTACCAGTACTGTACTAACTCTTTCCATGCAAATATCATATTTTGATATTTTTCACAATCATTTTTCGTTCATCAATAATATTATCTATAAGCAAATCTGTCTTATCTAAAAAATGTTACAAACAAAAATTCCATTAAAATAAGCTTAGAACATTGAAAGCTGCCCTCAATATCAATAAACCTTAGATCATCTACAGTACACGTTAGCCTGGCATCCAATATGTAAAAGGTGGCTGAAATGTTTGATTTTAGGGTAGGATTACTAGGAAAGCAAATATTTTCCTTCCATTTGGTACCATCTGCCACTGGATTTACCAGTGAGTAGAAGTAAACCCTGTCCAAGGATGGCAATATTAGACCAGGAAGATGGGGCTTTTCTGCATCCATATCCTTATATCCCATATCACCGGCCTTTGGCATAACACACCAGCTTCGCAGGCATGCAGCGCTGCAGCAGCTGGTTGTATTACACTAAATGACCTGTTACACCTAATCTTTGAAAATCTAACTGTATACGGTGATAACGGAAACACACAAACACACACACACAAACAAACAAACACTCACTAAACAAGGCCAAATAGTTGTAAAAAAAGGTACTGCAATTATCTAAATTAGAGTGACAGATCACAGCAGTTGACAGGTTCAAATTTTATCCCTTTTTCCCCCAAGCTCACAAAAAGGCAATAACCACTTGACCAGCTGGTAGCCTGTTGTTTTGTGAGGCACTTAAAATACAAGTACTGTTCATTTCACGAGCAGCATGTAGCTCCTTTATTGTCTGACAGTTAAAGTCTGTGCAACACTGATTTTTAGCAGTCAAAATTGGAACTTAAAACAACAGACATGAATTTTAAGGGACGTTTCATGAATTTTATGTTATCCCTAATGAGTTCCAAAAATCTGCAATTTTACGTAATGCGTATGGAATTTGGAAGACTTTCGGTGTATCATACAGTAAAACATAGCCAGCCCTCTTGAATTAGAAAGCATACTAGTATTTGGAACCCCCCTCAAGTCACAAGCATAGTCTGAACCCTGTACACACTCCCATCATGTAGAAACTATCTCTGCTTTTTGGATTATATGAGGCTGAAAGATGCGAGGGAATAATATCAATCAGTACTGTCTATAATATAGTAATATGGCGGAGGGGGGGAAATAATATTACCTCCATTCCAGGTGGCCCCATTACGACAGGGGTGAGCGCAGCTAATACGATATTAGTGGCACGATCCATCTTCCCGCGTACAAATCGCTGAGGGCGTGTCGTACCCAGAACCGTGCTTTATCCTAGACCAGGCTCAGGCACAGTTCTGGACAGTCCACGCATGCATATCCAGAACCATGCCTAGGGAAATCTATGTTCTTGGATAGGCGGAGACCATCCAGAACAAATGTGTCTGATCCCAACCCCCTCCCCCCTCAACCTACCTACTTGAGAATGTCCTCACCTCACCTCACAGTAGACCTATCCCCTAACCTCAACGGGGGTTTGTTGGGACACTATAGAATGTCTAGTGAATGTAACTGGAATTTAAATAAATTCAGATAACTTTTTGCTGAGTTTGTGGCACTGAAACCGTGAGTGAAAGTTTCACAGCACAATGAATATGAAGAGTTCCCTGTGTAAGTTTTTTAATTTGCAAGTGAAACTAGCGTAGGAACACATATGCATGACAGAGGTCAGTCTCACTATGAAAAATAGGGAACATAACTTCAATGGAAATATTTCCTGACTTACAGTAGTTCTCTAACAAAGCCTGTGAAAGGATACCCCTGTCCTGTATGTGATAGAAGTAAGACAGATGTATGCTATGTTGACTGACTGATGGCATGTGCTATTACATACCCTGCCTACAAAGAACAGCCAGGCACTATTGTAACATGTAGCTCCAGGCCTCCCTACCATTGATGCAAGACAGATCATTTATAATGCTAACCCAACCGAAAATCAGGCTGTGTTACACAATTTCTCACTGTCAGAGGCTGAATCTTCCCTTACAGCTTGTGATCATTAAAAACGTTTAAAATTCTAGGGACCTGACCAGTGGAAATGCTGCTAGTAGAAGTATGATATTAAATCTTTCTGTCACAAAAGATTTGTTATGCAATCATTCACTTTTCAAATAGTAACGACTTTTGAAAGACATATTTGAAAGTCAAATTGTTCTGTGAGAAACCAAAAACAAGCTAGTAGTACCACATTATCAATTAGGACTAATTTAGAAGACACAATTACTAGTACTTCAGGATAATAATAATAAAGAACAAGTGTGTGTGCTTGTTATCTTTTTGTTTGTATCAAATGATTTGAGAAATGGATTAAAACAATCTGAGGCAATACTTAACAGTAGAGTGCTACATAACATGTGAAATACCATGGTAAGCACTTTAAACTAACCCTATAACTCACTAGCTGTTAACAGTTCACAAAGGTACAACTGCACGTATCATCTGTTGTCAACAAAACTGACAAAAGGAGTTTAACTCCTTCTGAAAGGCCAAATTCCCCGCTGGCATGTCTTGTTTACTTGTGCCAATTGCCGGTGACCTTTTGACCTCTTGGGCATTCTTCGTTCAAACGTTAACCTTCCTGCTTTCTAAACATGAGTTTAGGGTGTATCCTTCCCAATACGGAAATACCTGTATGAATTATTGAAATTAGTGTATACATGTATTGTACTGCATTGTAATAGTATATAAAAGTCTATTTGTATTTCTGGTGTTAGATATTCTTTTGAAAACTGAACCCCTTTGTAGCTGGATACAGGCATGTAGTGACAGTATGGCCTGATTTCCATAATCACACTTTTAGAAATACTTCAACGATTCTGTCGAACCTTAATGAAATTTACTAGCCAGGCGTATGACTGATTCCTGGGCTCAAAATCCAATCAATGTGCTACAGCTGTCCCTGAGGTATTTTATCATTTGCATGTTTTGAAGCACCAGACTAGGTGGTATGATGATGTATCATCTACTACTGTAGATCTTGAAATGTTCACGGTGGTTATATTTTCATGGCAATCTCTACTCTAGCATTACATTAAGTCAACATGAATATGCTTTTTCCAATGGATTACCATTATGCACAAAATCCTTGTCAGTTTTTCATTGTTCCTTTTCGCTAAACTCCAAGCAGATGTAGGAAGGCAAAACCATAATTTTTTCTAGCCCCTCATTCCTCATAAAACTAGATAACTTAAATAATGACAATTTGTTGCATATCTTTGGAAAACATTAGGATTTGGCCATCCTACATCTGCTTGAGGATTAGCTCTTTTTTGCCCACTGTAACTTAAGTTATACTTCCTTGTGGACAAATTCAAAACAACTTCAACTCTCGGTACCAAGATATCTTTTGCTGAGAGGCAGCTGCTGCCCTGTCATTGTGCCTTCACCAAGACATAAGTACGTCTGATTAACCGTTGGACACGGCATGTATTCTAACTGAGACATTCCAAGCAGCCTCCAACGGTTTCCTTGGTCTCTTCTGTATCAAATCGTCCCTTTCCACTACACTTCTACAAAAAGGAGGTATCCATCTTTTTCAACGATAATGTTCCCAACAAAATGAAGATTTTTTTCACATCTTGCCTTTGTAACTAATCTGCATATTTTTTTCCCATGGAAAAATATATCTACTAGCATACATCACACATGTGAAAAGCTAAAAGGAAGGCAAATAATACAATGTACATTGATGAATGTTAGACATCCAGGTAATGCCACTACTAATGGAAAATACATTTGTACAAGGAACTTGTTACTCAAGCAACTGGATTAGGACATTAAAGTAGCATCCACTACTTTTTGTCAATGACTGACGGAATCTATCCAGTTGCTTGAATAACCATTTCCTTGTGTACAGACAACGTATATTACATATCTAGTGCAGATTATACAATTGATTACTATAGCAATCCAAACTTTGAGTACTAAAGAACCGTTCATGCAGTTTTACTAAACTTCAGATTTCAATTTTTGCCCCCCCCCCCCCAGAAACCGGAAGTGCAGTGAAAACGCCAGCCCTGACGCTTGACTACTAGTATGTGCCTTGCGATCACAGAACAATGCCGAGAATTCTAAGGACGATCAGACATTGTTTACACGGCGAAGATGACATCCACCAGTCTTCGTCCCCCCACCCTGACGTTTGGGGACAGACCGCCGCGGCTGAAACGCAACCCTGAAGCCGGAATCCGACCTGCATTCAGCTACAATAAAGCCAGTCTTTATGCTCGGGTCATAAGGTCCCATAGCAAGCCGGCCGAATTAAAATGCAGCCTGGAGTGTACAGTTTGAAAAAACACATTTTTTCCACGCTAGTGCCTATCAACGGTTTATTTCCACGATTTACATGCATGCAAGGATGTGTTTTATTTCTTGACAAGATGGTCTGAAAAGGGTTTAGAGCTGATGAAAATCATGCAACGGGGGGTACAGGAGAAAAATTCTGGAAACACCTCGATCATTTTTTTGCGGTCAGTCTGGTGTGCAAATACAGTGGCTTTGAGTGTTGAACCAAGACTAGCCTAGACGTCATCGATTATGGTGCGGAAAAATGAAAAACAAAGTTGTGGACGCTCGGAGGGATATGCAAGATTGTAAACAGTCCTTTCTTGGTTATTTAAAATTTTTAGTTTAGCCGCACGCGTGACCTGGTCGGCACCAGACGGGTAGCAGTTTGCACTGAGGTCATCGTCTCCAAAAAACACACAGAAGCCCAAAAACCGAACCTGTCATTCGAGAAGGGGGGCTATATTTACGCCAGAAGCACGCACCTGATCGCTCTGTAACTCCGCCCGGATAAAGTATGGAGTCTTCTCCGTCGATCCGTGCCGTTCTCGCGAAGTTGTTTGACGGGAAACACGCGTTGGAGCCCGCTGAAGTCACCACAGCCCTCTCCGTCACTTACCCATCGCCTCCATTTTCTTCTTGCCTTGGCTGACGAATTTCCCAGCAGGCCGCGCGAGGGAAATTACTCCCCAGCTGACCAATCAGAAGGCTCCATTCCTAACCAGCTGTCAGCCGGCCGGTGTTTCTCACTGTTTACCTGTTTATTTCGCCTTTTAAAGCTGGATTTTTTAAAAGTAGAGAGCTAGAATTTGCTGAAAGGATGCACCCTGCTGTCGCTATCGCCCTGGTTTTCGCCGGATGCTGCAGTAATGTGGTTTTCCTGGAGCTGCTGGTCACGTAAGTAGTCGGGAGTCTTGCAGCCGACGTGGCCACCCCCCTCCCCACTCAACTAACATGACTCCTAACAATTAGTAACATGCCTACATGTAAGTTGATACAATATCTAAACAGATACTAGACTCCTCCCCCCGCAGCCAGTCGTCTGTTTGACGATTCACCGCCACCTGCACATTTTGTCTGTAAAAATTTAACGTTAAGTTTCTAAAATTCACTGTAAATCACCGGTGATCATACCATATCATACAGGAACGGGAATGTCTCTCAGGAACTCGGGGGGATCAGGGTACCCAGGGCTAGAACAAACAGACTGTATAATTCATTCTTACATTACTCAATCCGTCTATACAACAGCCAAATGAAGGCTTAGTGCCTCTGTGTATAATGTAAGTGTTGTGATGTCTCTAATGTACTTTTGCTAAGTGACTCGTGTTTACTTTTTGTTAGGTCAACACAATTCAGTTGTACCATGTACTACTGCTATGTTGATTTTTATGAATAAAGTATAAGTATAAGTATATCATAAAATTATAGGAAAATAACCCAGCTATAATTTCAAACTATATAGGAGAGAGGAACCCTCCTGTCTGAAAATTATGTCTGATGTCTTGTTTCTGTCCAGAGAGCATCCAGGTGCAGGGAACATCGTCACGTTTGCTCAGTTCCTGTGGATCGCAGCAGACGGCTTCTTCTTCACCACAAACTTCGGCCGTAAAAAGCCAGTCATTCCTGTCAGGTACTAAAAATGCTATATACATGCATCACTCTCCTAGTGTCAGGTCGCATATGTCGAACGATGGCAAATGGAGGGCACATTCTTGGGTTGTGCAAATGTCATACAAAATTCAGCTGTCTTATGTAGGAAAGATAGTACCAACGTTCTCTAAAGGTTCAAAGTACAATGTATTACATGTAATGTTACAAAAAATGTTTACCTGGGTCGTCTTTTTTTGCTAAAAAGGTTTTTCTCCATAATGATAGTCAGACACAGTGGAATGGGATCATAAGACACGTACGGAACCCATCAGTTCACAAGTAAAGAAATCAATCAAAAGGATGGACGAATGGATTTTATTCAATATCTGCACCGTTTAAACTAAAGTAGGAAGCTTTCGAATTGATCACTGAGCTCTTTTTTGAAACGCCGTTTAATTATACTAGTAGTTCACCAGATCTCCTCAACTACCGGTAGTCATATAGAATCCACAGGACTACAGCTTTATGTG